TAAACCTATCACCTAACAGCTTCCAAGCATGTCTTACTGCTAGCAAAGTAAAAGAAAAAACACTATAAATATGGGTTAGGGTTTTATGTGTGTGTGTTCGTGTGTATATGTATCTTGTATCTTGAAACACTGCAGTTGCTGGAATTTTTTCATTATGGTTTTCTAACGCTCCTTCAAAAATGCATATAGAATTTCTTGGATTTTTGTGAGCTTGCCTAATTGTTCAAATGTGGCCTGCCAGCTGAAGTTTTGACCATAATGGGGTCAAAGCTGATCCTCACTCCAGAAGAAAAATGTACCATCTATTTGTACCGTATATGTCCTGTCCAGAGATCTTTTTGCATCAAGCTCATCTGACAGTTCACTCAGATACCAGCAGGAGGAGATATTTACCAGTGGAACAGTTAACTTAAGTCACTACCTGTACAGGAGAATGGCAGCAGAGTTGTTTTCCCAACAATGCTATGGTAGCAACCCAATACATGCAACTTGGATGGTACTCATTGCAGACTTCTAATGACAAGACTGAGACCCAGGACCAGTTTTCACTTCATTCTTTATTGCTTTTTGCTTTGGTTAATTCCGAGGGTAGAATTGAAATTTGCCCATAGTAATTAAAATGTATATTGAAATGTTTGTGAGATGCTTTAAGGAAAGTGATTGAGTCTAAAGCTTTTTCCCTGCATCTGAGCACATTTTTACATGACATTCTTCAAGCTTGAGCATTTTTCATAAGGAAAAACCCTGAGGAAATGGTCTCCTTTATCACTGGCATTTGAAATGAGCTAGTGATTTGACAGGGTTCACCTGTCAGTCAGTTGATCCGAAACAAAAAATTAAGGATCTGCTAAAAGGTGGCCCTCGAGCCTTCCCCGTCCTAGACCCTAATCGCCATTAACTCAGGGAATTATAGTTGTGCTGCAGTCCCACACATCGGGAAGGAAGGTCAGCGAAGAATGCCTGGAAGAAAGCTTTTTTCCCATTCTATTACAGAACTACATCTCCCAGTATTCTTTGCAACGCCTTCTGCTGTAGCGTCCCACGATGGGCGTCGGGGTTTCGTTTTTCTTCGTAAACCGGGAAGGCATAGCCGAAGGAGAAGTAAAAGTGCGTCATTCTTTTTGAGGCACCTAGTTAGCTGTGCGGAGGTCTTCGGTTCCTGCTAGCCTCCGCCGAAGAGGTGAGTGGGGAGTTAATAAGAAAAGTTTGGTTCTAGCCACAAATTAACCCTTTCGTTAGCAATGTTCTAACCGGGTATGACGAAGAAAAGTAGAGAGGGAGAAAGTACAGGAGGAGGAGTATAAGGAAGGGGCTGGTCACAGTATTGTACTCTAGCTTTATATTTTGTTTCTCTGGTCCGCTGCCGTGTTCTGGGTTGACTGTTCACCTGGTTCTTCTAAGACAGTCCTCCAACTTGGTGCCTTTCAGATGGATTCCATCTCGACCCTTCAGGCCAACACGTCTAGAGTATATAGTTGTAATTAGTGTGTTTTTCTGATTTGTACCGCTTATGATTATTATTATTAATTGGGAAACGTGATTCGACGAGTACTGGCTCTCAGAAAGCAAAGGGCGTTGGCTGTCACTTGCTGCTGTAACGTGAAATGGTCCGGAGTGCATCGGGAAACAATGCATCCAAGCGTGTGTTCCGCTGTTGCTTTGATTCCTCCCCATGAATTTTACGCGCGCATGCAAGCGAAATCCTCGAAGGCAGCTCCGGAAAATGAAGTATGTGCAAAATGTAGATAGGCCGTGGAGAAGATGCATGTTGCATGTTAGAAGTCTTGTAATGCATATCAGTATTATGATGCAACCTTTGCACTTTATTGCTTCTATTTTAACTGACCTAGGTTTCCCCGTAAGAGTGACCAAAGGGCTGAGACGAATCTTTGAGACAAAGGTTACATGATACAGCATTTACTTTGCACATATTAGAGCCCTGTTTCATCTTCTGCCTTTTCCAGGTAGGGCTGGGAATGGTTTGCCACAATCAGTAGGAAACTGCTACCTGTCAGGATAACAAGCTAGGTTAGTCTAATTGTTTGAATCAGTAGAAGATAGTCTCATAGGAATGGGGTTTGAAACAATACTGTACCTTGATAAATCTAGCATCAAGTTTCATAATTGCATAGGTTTATTTTTGCTGCTCCTTAATCATACCTAAGCATTAGAGAATGTGGTGGAGAGAGCCTCAGATTGGACTTTGTGGCTTCTATATTTATAGATCATTGGATTAATGCATACTGTACCTTGCTCATCTTCCAAGGAGTTCTTGCTAGATGGTTCAATATTTTCCCTGCAATAATCTTGAAGACTGCTTAGGTCTAACTTGGCTCTTGGTCAACTTTTCAGCTTCATAATGAGTGAACAGGTCTTGTTGTTGAGTATCCCACCATACATTTTTGTGTATGACCAAAGTCACCAGCTTTTCCCTATTCTTCATAGCATCTACTCATGGAGAATTTGCCTTCCCAGTACTCTTTCCTCCATATTTAGAAAGATGTTCCATATTTTGTATTTGCATATTAGACTACTGTACCATTTAATAGCCCAAGAAAAGAAAGGGTGATGGTGAGGGCTGCATGGTGGATAGGGTCCATAACACAAATAGGTGAGCTGGGTTTCCAGTGAATTTAGGTTTTCTTCATATTTTAACTGTTTCAGGTAATCCTCACTTAACGACCTTTCATTCAGCAACATTTGAAATTACGACAATGCTGAAAAAATGGACTTACTACCCATGCCCAAAGTTACGGCTGTTGCAGCGCCCCCATGGTCATGTGATCAAAATTTGGGCACTTAACAACTGCAGGGGCACTGCAGCTCCCCCCACCCGCCTACCTCCCCCACCCTGCACAGCAGCACTAGTCAGCAGTGCCGGGGCTGAGGCTGAAGTGGAGGCCCAGGGCCTTCAGCGGTCTCAGCCAGCTGCCACCGCTCCCCAGGCTTCTACTTTAGCCCCAGCGCCACTGCTGCCACTCAGAAATGCCACCTGAAGCCCCACACCACAGCCAGCCATCCCAGCATCATTGTGCAAAGCCCCAGTTGCCCCCACCACCCTGCACTCCACAGGCTCTGCCATGCCCACCTGACCTTTGCAGTTTTTCTCCCGCTGCTGATCAAGCTCACCTGGCCTGATGCTACTATATGCGAGGCAACTGCTGGCCATGCCAGGCCTTCTTCCTGAGGCCACTCGTGCTGTTCTCCAAGCCGCTCACACCATTTCTTCTCCCAATCACGTGCCCCATCCCTTCTCCAAATCGCATGTCTCATTCTCACAATCCTTCGGAAACCTCCTGGTCTTCTCCAGGTCTCATGAGAATGGGCACACTATTTGGAGAATGGCAGGAGCCCCATTCGCATGGTGATTCAGAAGACCTCATTCTCCAAATCACGCACCCCATTCCTTCTCCAAATAGCATGCCCATTCTTGCAAGATCTGGGGAAGATCAGAAGGTTTCCAAAGGATCGCAAGAATGGAACACACAATTTGGAGAGGAAATGGGGCACGTGATTTGGAGAATGAGGTCTTCCTTCCAGGGCCTCCCTCATCTCCCTGTGGCACCCCCATGCTCCTTACCTGGGACTCCCTTTGCTTAACAACCTGTGATTCTCAGATAACAATGGCAATTGGGAGTGCCAGGATTGTGGTCGCTAAGTGAAGCGGTCATGTGATTATTTGATTTATGACCACATCACTTAGTGACAGAAATTCCAGTCCCAATTGTGGTTGTTAAGCGAGGACTCCCTGTATGACTGTTTAAGAGCTTATGCTTCATTTCTCATGTTCCCTACTCTTGTGCCTTCAGTTTTCAGCCATCATAGTCAGAGGGGACTCCACAGACACATAAATAGTTCTTGGGGGTCAAAGGTTGCCCATCCCTGCTTAAAAAGAGTGCCTGGAAGAGAGTGACCCTTAATGTAAAGCTTTAAATACAAATTTAAGTCCTGGCTTTTCTACAATAAACCATCATAGTATATATGAACTGTTATTTGAGTAACTGCTTCAAAGTGGGGTTTGCCGTGCACCTGAACAATGGCTGAGCAAATATGTGCGTGCAAATCTTCACATGTGGCAGCACCTTGGCTGATTTGGTTTGTATTTGGAAGGGAGACTACCAGGAAATCCCAGGGCTGTGATTAGACTGGAAACTTAAGCTTGTTATGCCTAGTGATATCATTGCACAGAATGTGTTTATGTAATTTGCATCAGTTGCAGTATGTTAAACAATACATAAGAATTTAAGTTGTGACATTCCTCCCCCCCCATAACTCATGGCTGGAGTGGTAGAAAATCAAAGTAGATGTTCATATCAAGATTAGATTCCGATAAATAGACAGCTTTTTTTTAAGAAAGGAAAATTGAGATATCTGCTAATATTATTTTTTATTTTTTAAAAGAGATTTGGGGCTATTCCGATAAATAGCTTTTTTTTAAGAAAGGAAAATTGAGATATCTGCTAATATTATTTTTTATTTTTTAAAAGAGATTTGGGGCTAGAGTGATCTGTTTTAAAGCAGGGAAGGTTGATTTACTAAAACTTAGTTAAAATGTGGCTTATTTTTAACTGAACACAGCCACAAAACAAATCATAATTAACTGGAGCATTTTGAATGTTCTCTTGATTTTTCAGTTTACAGTTCCAACAATATCTACTAAGGTGTGGCAGTTTTCTGTGTTCTTTATGTAGGTACATTTTTTTTATCAATGACCATACTTTTTTTTCTTTTAATAAATTGAATTAGTGTTGTGTAGTCAGCTCTCAAACTCTCATTTTTGTCACAAATCTACTAGATAGCAATGCATTGTGTGCTAGCCTCTTGTAGCTTCATTCCTTCACCTCCCATCAGCTTCTGCAGTTTGAGGATAAATAATTTATTTGAGCATTTTAAATGGTAGCAATTATAATACCACAGTCATGTTACTGTAGTTCTTAGATGAAACAAAGTTGTCATTCCAATGATGCTCTTAAACATTATAGGTGAACACGTGGGCTGCATTTGTACATACAGTGGTAGGCCACGTTTTTACATCATGGTTTCTGGAAGAAACTGAAGTCATTCTTATACAGGAGCAAAATAATGTTGGCTTATTTATACAAGATGCTGTCTCTCCATCTGTACCACCAATAACCAGCAAAACAAAAAACTGTCCCATGGAAAAATCAAGCCTCGTTACTGCAAATGAAGTTTCATAGAAAAATAAACTTCTAACAAATAAATCTTCCCTTTTCACTATAAATAACTTTTAAGTCTCTTTTAAATTCTAATTTTCATCTAGCTTTTTGCGAATTAATCAGATTCAAATTAAAGCTCTATTTCTTCTTTTAAGAATATAGTCCCAAAAATAAGGATAAGCCCAAAAAGAATTACTTATCTATTGTGAAGGAAGGTCTCTCTTAAGTTGAAAAATAGTTAAAATCCAAAGTGCTTTAGAAATGAGGTTCAGTTGGCTCTAGTGTCCATATAAAGGCTGTGCCACAACTGCGAACAAAGATGGATCCCCCACCTCCCAGCTGCTCAGCTCAAAAGCCATTCGCAGAAGCTTCTGTCTCTGTGATTAGCTTTCAAGGAAGGGCCATCCGAAGACCAAATGGGCTGATTTCTCGCTCCCTCCTTGATCTGGGGCAATTTGGGCAGCCAGCACTTGCTGCCAGCCACTGATACCACTGTGATGCCTTCTCCACTATTTCAAAGACGCCTAAGCCACCATTAATCCCCACTGTAAGTCCCATTTTACCTGTAGTATTGTGACAGTTCTTTTCTGTTTATTGAAGGGTTTGGGTTTTAGGTGGAGTGTCTCTGGGAGTGTCTCTGTGGGAGTGCAGCTGTTGTCTGTATTTCTTTAAGTGGTGTATGCTTCAATTATATTTTGTGGACTTTTTATGTTCCTGAAGAGAGGTGTGTAAAGGTCTTTATGAAGTGACAGTTTCATTTAGATGTTAAATAATATGGGGGAGAGAGCTATATCCTGTAATACCTCCCATTGCTACAACCACACACTTAATTTCTCCTTCCCTTTTCAGTTCAGGTCTCCCCTAGGTTTCTACCTTCAAGATTAAAAATGAAGGCAGCTTTTCAGGGATTAAAGAGTAGAAATTATAGTGGCGTGGAAGTGCTCCCAGTATCTCAGTGATGGGAAATACGAAGTAGACTCCCTCAAGGATCTCTGTTGGAACAAATGAATTTAAATTTGTTAATTAATCAACTGACTCAGAGTTAAGAAGGGAACTGGCTGAGGTTGTAGATGATAACAAACCAATCAGGGTGGCAAGAAGCTCCAGAAGGAACTCTTTAAACTAAGGAAAAGGTCAACTAAATTGTAAATGTGGTGCAGTTTAAATAAGTATAAAGTGATATATACTGGGGCAAAATCTTAATTTCTCATAGACACATATACTTAACATTTATGAGGTCTGAACTGTCTGTATCTAACCAGGAAGAAGATCTTGGGGTCATAATGGATAGCAAAATGAAAATTTTAATTAAAGTAAATGTACAGTAGCTGTGAAAAGGGTAAAGTCCATGCTAGGGAGCATTAGAAAGGGGATTGAAAATAGAACTGCCAACACTAATGTTTTTATACAAATCTGTAGTTCAGTCACATCTGAAATATGCATAAGTTCTAGTCAACTCATTTGAAAAAAGAATATATAGATATAGGGAAAAACAAAGGAAGACAACTACAATTATAAGGAGACTTGAATGCCTTTCTCATTAGAAAAGGC